AAGTTCATGGAAAACTACAAAAAAAGTATGACACTTACTGTGAATTCAGAGTTCATGGAAAATTACTATAAACGTACTACACTTACGTCAGAGTTTATGGAAAAGTACTACCAAGATATTTTTAATTTTTCACATAATTCTATACTATTTTGTTCATTTCAAACAAGTATATATTTAACATTAGTATTTAAGTATTAAAAATTTAATAAAAATTTAAATGCACAAACTTACATTATAACGATTATTTAAAACAAATCTAAACTTTAAAATTAAAATAAATTAAATTTAAATGCAGATCCCTTACATTATTAGGATTATTAACACAAATCTAAACTTAAAAATTAAAATAAAAATTAAAATAAATTAAAAAAAAATATTTTATAAAAAAATTTTGACACTATTTTCTTTATATTATTGATAAAATAAACTTTAAAAAAAATTTAAAAAAAAACAAAAAAAAATTTTATTAATTATTGGACTCCATTTTGTTTTTTTTGCTTAAAAATAAACTTAAAAAATAAAAAAAATAAAATAAAAATAAAAAAAACAAAAAAATTCGTAGCTGAGGCTGGATTCGAACCTATGTCCTCGTGGGACAGACAGACCGACAGACCGACTTATAGAATGCATATACGGATTCCTTTCAGGAATTCGTGAAAAGCATGAATATATCAAAAACTATTAACTCAAAAAATAACAACTTTTAACAATTTAACAAAAAAAAACTTTATTAAAGAAAGGGTTTATTGATTTTCTCTTAAAACTAAGTTTGCATTCAAATACTATATCGATAAGTCAGCTGTTTATCAAAAACATTTACAAAATAAATTTATATAACTATAAAACTATTTCATGTTTACTTTGGGATATATAATACACTTTCTTATTGTAATTATTATAAAATGATTATTTTAAATAAGTTTCTATTTTTAAATAAAATACAATTTTATTTCATATATACACTAAGATAAAGTACAGTATTTTATAAATTGATTTAATGCTTAAATTGATATATGTTTAACTCCAAGAAATTTTTAACTTAATTTACATGCAAACGTATCTAATATTTAATAATTAGATATTAACTAACTTGATTGAGATAAGTTTTAAATGAAAAAAATTTATTAAAAAAATATTGTTTAGCAATTATGATGTAATTAATTTTTTTAATAAATATTTTTAAGTAATTTTTAACTTATGATAATTTATGACATTCATGATAAAAAAAATTTAATTTCTTTATTAAGTAAAACATTTGTTCATTTAATAATCAATAGTTTTATGAAAATAAAGTTTTGCAATAAAACTCATTTTCAAAATTCCTTGAAATGGTTTTTTCAGATGATATTATTTTTAGTCAAAAAATCTATTTATTGCCACAAAAATCGTTTTTGACTCAATTTTTATTTTTAAGTTTATTTCGTTTGTAGTAATCATACATAACATTATAATATACCGTAAATCAAAAGTAAAATTTGTATACACATTTCAATTGCTAGTGTTATAAATAAGGTATTATTCGCACAAATTTTATGACAAAATATTACAATACTTTTATCAAAGAATTCAAAAGCCATTTGTAATCTGATTAATGGTTAGACCACTGAATCTGAGATTAGTTCAGTTATATATATAAATGTGAATTTTTGTGAACCTATGCTATATATGTGTATCAAATAAATAAATTTGCAGTTTTGTCGTTTGATATTTGATTGTATTTGACTTTTACACTTAAACTCGCGATAAAGTTTCGTTATTAAAATCACAAAATTTTTAAAGTAATACATAAAATAGTTTTTTAATTTTATGTGCGTTTAGTTTTGTTAATATTATTAGTGAAATTCTAGCTCATAATTATATTATTTTTTATACCTTATACACAAAAAAAACAAATTACAAAGCTTAAATTTTAGATACAAAAAATAATGAGGGGGTAAACAAAAAAGTTCTATTAGTATAGTAAAAAATATATAATACTTTTAAAATAAATCTAAATAAGTACAACAACATTGAAGCAAATTTACACGCTTTTAAAAAATTGATTTTATTTAAAAAATAATTTTGAGGATATAAATTTATTACATTATCTCTGTATTTTATTACAATACTCTAATAAAATTCTAGATATATTATACATTATAGGCTTAAATAAATTTTTATATTTATTATATGTATTTAATTTTTTAGGAATTTAGCAAAATTATTAAAAATCTGTTTTATTAACTTTAGGATATTTTAAATATTTGTTTGTAGTAATATATTATGAAACTTATAGATTATTATATTTAAAATTTAAGTGACGGTTTCAGCATTATTATAATATATGAAAATACACATTTAAAACATAATCATTAGTTTTTATATTTTAATTATTAATAGATAGTTAAATGTGTATAATTATTATAATGGTTTTGTAAATAATTTACAATATAATAATTTTTCATTATCAGATGAATTTTAATGCAAAACGTGAAAAATATATAATATTTGTATAACAAATGAAAATGTGATATTATTTTTAATTCAATTATAATATATAAATATTATTAAAATATTGCTTGATTTAATTAATACATATTTTTATGCATTTCCATATTATTAATATACACTACATAATGTGTATATAACAAACTTTTTGGTTTTTTAATAAACTAGTAATAATTTTGTTTACATATTATTATGTTATATTTAGCACAATTCTATAAATTAATTTTACAAAATTGTTTATATTTAATATAATTCAATAGTAATTTATTTCATAAATTTAAGCAATTTCCGAAAATTTTATAGCTATGTTATAAAATATATATTTTTAATAATGTCAGGTGTGTTATGAAATGACATTTTGTTTTTCTTTTAAATCTTGTTATTAAATATACTTGAAATATACAACAAATATATGTCAAACATATCTTTAGGTCAGAAATATTTTTATTATATTTTTGTAGAATATTGAAAATGACAGAAAAACCTATACATTTGAAGTTTTTATAAGAAAAATCTTTAATTTTGTCAAATGATAACATTTTGAGAAACGAGAAACCAATTTGATAAACTGTTGCACTTTTGCAATGTATTTAATTATTTAAACCAATTAGATATTTAATGATGTATTTTTTACTTATTTGTATTTATATCCAATAGTTAGGATATGTTTGAGATAAAACAATTTTTCACTATTTATTTTCTTAAATCTATTTCAATTTATCTTTATATGAGCCATTTTTTATTATAAAGATTTCTTTAGTATTAAATAAATTGTTTTTTCAATAAAACAAAGATAAAATAATTTCAAAAATCTAATAAAAATAAATAATTGATTTTTTAGTTTTTTAATTTTTATAAATATACTAAATATGAATAATAATAATACTGGTAATATAGTCATTGTTCTTTTATAAATGCATGTAATTTGGACTAAAATTAATGTTTTATTATTAAATATATATTGATAGTCAAAGTTATATTCATTTAGATGTCAGTATATTACTATATTATTTATTTCAAAGTTATGTATAAAAGTTTGTATTTAGTTTATAATGATATTATAAACAATTTAATATAAAAAATAGATTTAAAAAACTTTTCCTTAATTGTTATTAATTATTTTCTAACGATATTGTTATCTATTGATATTTGTTTAAAAATTATTTTAGAAAATAAAAGGAGCATGATCGTTTTTAATTAACTTTTTATTGGAAACGTTTAGACTGTATTGTATACAAAGTTCTTATCTAAACTAATAACTAATTAATATACGACTGTTAATCATTTGTCTACTATTGCTATATAAATATAAGTAAAATTATTTACTTGTCATTTGATATTTCAGATTTGTATAAAAAAATTTATAAAATATATTATATCTAAGTATATTATCTTTATTTACACTTCAAAATAATATTTTCAAATATACTATTATATAAGTTAATTAAAAAATATATTAGAAAACAATTATAATAAGATTATTATAATTAAAAAGTTACGATAATAAATTATGATATAATAAACACAAATAATAAACTCATTAATCATTAAATAAAGAAAATGAAAAATAAATAAATATTATTTTACTATTTTTAAACAATTTACAGATTTACCATTTAGGTTAAAAATGACTTTAATTTCAACAACAAAAAAAATGATAAATGAATTTTTATTTTATTGAAAGAGTAATTTCCATTATATTAACGTATATTTTAAAAACTAAACTTTGATGAAAAATGAAATTTGATTTCACTATTAAAATACAATAATAACAATAATCAAAATTTATATTACTTTTAGAAAAATGGATGAAAATTAAAAAAAGTAAATATTTTTTATTGAAAGTTAGATCATTTATAAATAAATAATAAAAATATTATATTTTTGTATTATTATTATTATTATACTGTATATTAAAGGTTTTAATGTTTTCATTGAATCAAAATATTTATTATACAGTATATGTCCCGTGAGATTGATTGGTAATGAGAAACAATATTTGGGCCCAAAATTATTGTAAACATTTCTATTGATAGCACTTTATTTCATACAATATCAATAACTTTATATAAATACTCTATAATATTGATAAACATAGTTATTTTATTTATTATTTTTTTGCAAATAAAATTATTAATTATTGAATATTATCTTATTTATTATTTATTTTGAGTATAGGCTTTAAATGTTAATTATTTTTATGTAATGTTTGATCAATACTAGTCTAATGCTAATCAAATAACTTTTGATTTGGTTTATTATTAGACACTTATAATAATAATGGTGTGTACAGTATGTAAACATATGACAAAATAGAGATTCAATTAATATATAAATATTTGCTTTCATATAACTGATTGACATTAAGAAAATTATATAACAATTCAATTATTATTCAAATATATTAGTATATCTTTTGTTTTTATTTACTAATGTTTTTCTTTTTTTATCTTTTCTTTATATAAATGATGAAAACTGGTGTCTGTCTGTCTGTCTGTCTGTCTGTCCTTCAGTGGCAGTCGTTATTTCTTTCTTTTTCTGTTACTCTCCATTTCACGCCCAAAGAGTTTTGGCCACAATATTGATGAGGAATAGTATGTTAACACCATTTCTGATGAACGTCTTCTCAATATTGACACACATATCTGGTGTCACATATTATTTGAGTTCAACCATAAACCCGATCCTCTATCAGGTTATGTCTCGTAAGTTTCGGATCGCATTGAAGGACACGTTTGGTCGGTGTATGCCCTGTATGTCAGGGGACAGACTGCTTGAAATGAGTTACTCGACTATTATAGCCGGAACACCCAATTGCTCGAAACTGTACTATCGGTCACAAAAGGCACACATGAATGGCACGACAAGAAAGTCGAGACACACCAGCTTTTATGACAGTCCTGTCAATAGTCTCAACAAAATTCCGCGAAGAAGTGACTCCCTGTCCCCTAACGACTCAATCACTACTAAAAGATATTTTTAATCATTTCTTTATATTTATATATTTATTACATTATTTCGTTTATATTAATTATAATGTGTGTTAATTTAACAATAAATTATACATACCAATTAACCAAGTACAATTTATCAATGTTTCAAAATACACCGTTTTTAACAACTCTAACATAATGTTAGATATTATATTTGAATTTTCTAAAATGTATTTAATATATTTAATACAAATATTTATATATTTGTATATTAAATAAATATTAATATAATATAATATATTTATTATACAATAAATTAAATCTGTAATGTGTGGTTGATGATTTTATTTATTTATATTGTAATTATTTGTGTAAAGTATAATTGTATTTAAAATATTAATAAATGTTTACTTCTTTATGTATAAAATATAATATGATATTAGTCTAGTTTTTTTTGTCAAATTAAATTTAAATAAAATTGAAAGTTTGCATAAAGTATTGTAAAATGTAATTATTTAATATTTTCATCAAATAAACACAACATATTGTATACTAACACAAAAATATATAACTGTTATTAATAATAACTGAAATATTAATATTGTTTTTATTGTTGTTTATATATATTATACTAATAAAAATACAAAATTTCATAGACATTATAATACAATAGTTATTTTCAGATTAAGTAAAAATATAAAACATAATTATATAATATAATATTTTAAATAAATTGATGAATATTATAATTAAGTTAAAAAATTATAAATTAAATATTGTTTAATATTATTGTAATCATTTTTAAAAACCATTTGAGTATATATTAATATTATATATTTATTTGTTTGTATTCTACAATATAGTGAGAAATATAAAATTTCTAAAAATAATATATTGCATAAAAAATTTTATATAAATATAATATATCATTTGATTTTAGAGTAATATCAAAATATAAAATTGTGACTATATTTTAATATTAATTAAATAAACTTTTCTTTATCTAATTTTTATAAACATTTGATTTGGTATATTTAATATATATCAGGGTTAAGCAAGATTTTAGGGGTATCTATGGGGGAGTCTTTAAAAAATCTTGGGGTATATGTTGGGTGTAGACTTTTATTGCATTCTTACGGCAATGTTATAAAAAAAAAATTCAAAATTAAGGGGGTTAAGAAAATTCCCTAAAAATATCTTAAATTCTCATATAGATTGTAGGAAAATAGGTAAATATTCCCAATAAATTATATCATTTTTCAAAATATTTTTTTTTAATTAGTAAAAAATAAAATAATTGTATTTAACAGTTAAAAATAATTAATAAAAACATTAAATATACTATGAGTTATTTTTAATATTTTAATTTTTTTTTTAAATAATAGGTAATGTTTATATGTTTATATATACACTTAATATATTAAGATAACACTTAATAAAATATTATAAATTAAAATTATAATTTTGGTGCAGAAATTTTAGGTGTCATTTCTCCTCGATTTTTGGTCACAATTTTTTCAATTTGGTCAAAAAGTCTGAGTGGGGGACAAATCTAAAAATATCGATTTTAATGGGACATTTGACTTGACCCTTACACCCTTACTTATTCCTGATATATATATATATAAATTTATATATAAATTTATATATAATTAATATTTTTTGTATTTATATAATAAATATTCAAATATATTTGAAATTATTTATAAGGTTTGAAACATACTATTGTACTCAACATAAAAATTGCTTTAAATCAAGTCTTTGATTCAAATCATACCAATAATTAGTTTCGGTTAATTCATTTATTCATTTTATTTTATTTTATTTTATTTACTTAACTATATATACAGTATAAATACTTAATAAAATTAAAGAAAATCAATAAATCAAAGATATTATTAATTTTATTGTCATTTTAAATAAATTTAAAGAAATTAGTTACAAAATTTACATACATTTAAATTTCTATTAATATAAATATTCAATAATATTGTAAACTTTTGTTGTAATTAAAGAAACTTTAATGAATTTAATTTTTATTATATTATAATTTCTATAAATTATGTATTTCTACTATATTTGTATTTCTAAAAATTTAATAATACTTATTAATAAATTGAAATTTTTATAAAGTATTAATTAATATTTAATAATTAATTTATAATATTTAGTAAAATCATTGCTATTATTATTACATGTTATCAAAGAATTACATTTGAAAATATAAGTTAATAAGAGGTCATAGACTTCATAGACATTTCATATATGATATGTTTAAGTGTTGTTTAGATTTAGAGGAAATTTAATGTCCATTTGATTATTACTTTTAATGTTTTCTTTCAGTCAAAGTCAATGAGAGGTCTTTCCAGTGGAGAGAAGCCATTCATTTGGATTCAACACAAATCATTGCAAACGACTGTTGAATACCAAATAATTTAATACAACAACACATTGGAGTCAATGAATAGACAAGAATGAGGTCTCGGAAGTCAAACATTTTGGTATTAATTTATTTAGAGATAAAAACAAGTGAAACACTCATCAGTGATAAGTTGATCGTTAAATAGACTGCAGAGAGATATTACTACTAACTAAATAAAAGCCAATTTTAATAATATATTAAATGTGAACATTCAGTGCTAAAGTACTGTACGGTATATACAGTATTGCATATTATTATACATTGTTATAATTTATGCCATACAGTATAGTACAGTACAGTATATCAAAACAAAAATAAAATACTAACGATATTAACTTTTTCATTATATAATTAAAAAAAATCATTTTAATTAAATAATTTATTTAGTTATTTATATAAATTCATATTAATCTGATATACAGTTTTTGGTACCGCTTGACATTTGTAACATTACTAACATTATGTTAATACAATTGATATATTATTTATTAACTTAAAGTATTAATTATTTGTCAATAACTATGACATTGATGTGTAAAAAATATAAAATGATATTTAATATTATATCAATGTTATCTATATTATATTTACTACTTAGCTATTGGCAATATATTATATTATATAAATATTACAATCTAATTAATACATATATTTCTACATTTAAGTGTATTTAACTTAACATACTGTATGATAAAAATTAAATGTCAAATACAGTAATAATTGTTAAAAAGTAAAATAAAACGAGTTTTAAAAATAATACAATTTTTTATAAAAGTGGTTTAATGTTTGAAAAATGTGTGTAAATTTATATAATAACAAATTATATATATTAGTATATATAAACATAAATATTATTTTGTTGTATAAAACTTCTGAAAAATAGTCTCTTTTGACAGTTTTGTTGGCACCAAATGTCTACTCAATTCAATCATATAATCAATGAATGAAAATATTATTTTAATTCATTACAATTCTTTTGATATCTTGTATTACATAAAAAACATGTTTTTTGCTTTTTATATGATTTGTTTGTAATAAATTTGAAGCAAACATTGATTTCCTATTTAATTTACACATTACACACAAACACAAGTGCGACCAAAAAATCTCAGAGTTATTTAATTTGATTCATACAGTTGTTTGAGACTTAAGGACTGTTTTGTGAGGAAATTAATTTCTCGATGCAATTGATTTATTTCATTGTTTTTTCACTTCAAATAAGATAAACAATAAAAAATCGACCGAAAAAAGTACATAAAGTGAGATAAAAGAGTGAAAAGAAAGAGTCTATTGGTTGACAATAATAGCTATAAATATAGTTCTATACTATAGATAGGGTTCGGATAACATTCCCAAAAGTAAATTTCTTAAATAAAATTACAATATTTTTTGTAAAATAAGTTATATATTATATATTCTTACTTTAATCCGTTAGAAGAAATGATATAATTTTAAAAAAGTATCAAAAATATCCAAAACTTAAATAATAATAATAAACATTAATTTAATTTGAGCAGCAATTTATAAGCATATATTAATTACATAATTTAAGCAAAAAATAAAATAATATTTATTTTTAACAAATAGATTAACTATAATATATCTTCTATTATATAAAACAAGTTTTCGGAATTTTTCAACAATTAATAAAATTTAATAAATATTTCAATAGAAAATTTGCCCCAACTTTAACTACATATTCTAGTACAGTATATATCGTTTTTATAAGTATAGTACTAAACAATAGTGAGATATTCACAAATACTTTATAGACGTTTGTATAAATAATGATTGTCACATAATTTCATATTTCAATATTTTATATATAAATTTTATTAGATGTTATGACTTTTAATCTAAACTAATACATAAAAAAAATATTTTATAATATAACAATAAAAACTATTTATTAAATAAAATAATAACAATCTTAATAATAATATAATAAATCATTGTTAAACTAATACTGTATTAGCCAACTATAATAGCAATAGTAACTACATTAAAAATTTATATAAAATTATAAATGAGATTTGAATTTTTTGTTGTTAAATAAAATACAATTTTTAAATAAGTTGAAAATGTGTCACAAAATAAAGAAATCTAATAATCAATAAATATTATTAGTTTTTATAGAGTCAATAAAAAATGTCAACAATTATACACAGAAGTGTTGTAAAAATTTTGTGAACATAAATAAAAATTAATAACATTTGTAAAAATCTTGTAAAAATGTTTCCAAAAAAACATTGTATTAATTGAGCGGAACAAGTGTCTGAAGATAACAACATTTAATCGATTAACTATTGAAAAGCACAGCAAAACTGATTCATAAACATTGAATTTGTGTTTATTTAAGCCGACAATCAAAATGTTTTTGTAAAGTATTATCAAAACATACACTAATTTAGCTGAGATCGAGATTATTTTTCTGTATTTATTGCATCTATTAATTAATTGTTTACTTAATTGTAAAAACAATAATTAAAACAAAGATTCAAATTACTGAATAATATACTATATATTATAATATTTAAGAAACTTTTTATAAATAAAAAGTGCATATTTTACTCATAATTATACTTCAAAGAAATCTTATGATACAAATGATATTTAGTATAATATATA